TTTTCAACCTCAAAATTTCCATTTGGAGATACTGTATTCATATTACATAAATTTGGAGTTGAGAAGTGCAGGAACCCAAACAAAAAATTCACTAGAGTGGCTCAACAGTAGATTTGAGTCAGCAGAAGAATCGGCAGACTGGAAGATAGATTGAAAGAGATTATTTACCGTCTGAATAGAAGAAAGAAAATGAATGAAGGTAAATGAACAGAGTGCCCGAGAAATGTGTGGCACCTTTAAGTGTTCAAGGTATGTAAGATGGGAGTACTGGGAAGAAAGGAGAGAGAAGGAGACAGAAAAATATTCAAAGAATTAATGACTGAAAATTCCCCAAATTTAATGAAAAACATGAATCTACACACAGCAGAGAAGGTGAATGAACTCTAAGTAGGATAAATGCAAAGAGATATACATCCAGACCCATCTAAGTAAAGCTGTTGGAAGCCAAAGATAAAGAAGAAATCTTGAAAGCAGCAAGAGGAAAATGACTTGTCACATGCAAGGGTGCTGCTGTGAGATTAACAGTTGATGTCTCTTCAGAACAGTGGAGGCCAGGGGCAGCAAGACAACATTCGAAGACAAAGAGTGTCAGCCATGATCTCTGTATCCGACAGAGCTGTCTTTTAAAAGTGAGGGTGAAATAAAGACATTCCCAGGTAAACTCAGAGAGTTCACGGCTAGGATACCTGCCTTATGAGAAGTGCTCACTGCTTTTATTCTTCATGCTGAAAGGAACTGACAGCAGACAGTAATTGGAATCTACGTGAAAAAACAAAGTGCTCCAGTAAAGGTAATTATGTAGGTAATGATAACAGACAACATAATTACCCATTTCTTTTTCTTTTTTCTCTTAGCTGATTTAAAACACAATTGCATAAAACAGTATCTATAAAATTGTATTGTTGGGCCTATAACGTATAGAATTGTGATATATTTGACAATAAACTACAAATGAATGAAGCTCTACTGGAGAAGGGAAATGACACCAGATGGTAACTTGAATCTGCAAGAAGAAATGAAGAGACAGAAATGGTAAATAATAAGCTTAATTAAAAAAAAAACAACTCTATAAATATATTTGAGCTCTCCTTTCTTCTCTTTGCTTCTTTTTTTTTTTTTTTAAGATTTATTTATTTATGTGACAGAGAGAGACACAGCAAGAGAGGGAACACAAGCAGGGGGAGTGGGAGAGTGAGAAGCAGACTCCCCGTGGAGCAGGGAGCCCGATGCGGGGCTTGATCCCAGGACCCTGGGACCATGACCTGAGCCGAAGGCAGACGCTTAACGAATGAGCCACCCAGGCGCCCGCCCCTTCTCTTTGCTTCATAAGAAGACATTTTTTTTAAATTTTTTCTTTAAAGATTTAATTATTTACTTTTGAGAGAGAGAGAGAGCGGGAGGAAAAGAGGGAGAGAGAGAATCTCAAGCAGACTCCCTATTGAGTGTGGAGCCCGATGCAGGCTGGATTTCATGACCGTGAGATCATGACCTGAGCTGAAATCAAGAGTTGGATGCTTAAACCACCTGGGTCACCCAGGTGCCCCCAGAAGACATGTTTTTAAAAAGCAATCATTATAACAAGGTTTTGTTGAGTTTGTAACATATATAGACACCATGTGGATAAGAATAAAAAAATAAGGAGGAAGGGAAGAGAGCTATGTAAGAGTAAAGTTTCTGTATCTTACAGGAATTAAGTGAGTATAAATATGAAGTATATTTTGATAAGATGTATATTGTAAGACCTAGAGCAATCACTAAGAAAGTAGCTAAAAAACATAGTAAAGAATCATTAAAGGAATGGAATTAGTATGCCAGGAAATATTCATTTAAGATGAAAGGAGATAGTAAATAAGGAAAGAGGAACAAAATAGGGGAACTGTGTGAGTACCATTATGTGGGCATCCCGTGATGTGGTCTTTCAAAACTCAGTAGTCCAACATGTTTCAGATTGAATAACTTTCCTTATTCAGACTCATTTTCTCCCTCAAAGTATTACTGTATTCATGGTGCTCCTTGTGTTGGAAAATTTTTAAGCAAATTAATAAGAATCTTAGAATAGATTTTTTTTTTCAGCTGATTCCTATATTAAACGTTCTGCTTCATCACACTCCCCTTAAGAATATTAGGTTGATCATAGAACACACTCACAGAGATGCACACAAAGGTACACATTGAGATACACACTTTTTTGTACCACAAGCTGTTTAACTACATACTCATATGAAATTTATTCTCTGATAGTACCAATATTGACATAAAGATGCATTTACTTATACATATGTTCTGGCACTAGACATATCCAGAGGGATAAAAGTGACCATTACTTTTGGATTGTATTTAAGTTGAATACATCAAAACAACCATTTCATGGCTCACTGAATAATCTCTTTTAAAAAGGAGTGTACATATGTGTGGGTGTGTATAGTAGAGGGCATATAGTAATAATGATTAATAGTGTTCATAATTACACAAACAAAAAGCATTGTGCATATTCATATACAACATATTTAGACATGTATGTATTTATATTTATATAATTTTATATGTTTATAAATAATGTACAGCTTTAAATAATAACATGTGTATCACACACACACACACACACACACACACACACAAGAATACCACACTCCATGAATGAAGCATTATAGATATGCTTTCAGTGCTTAGAAACACGAGTGTGCTCCTGGCATAGCCCTCTGACAATTTGGCAGAATGGTTAAGGATATAGCCATAAGAATCAAACTGAAGTGTTTAACTCCCAACTCTACCCCTTGTTAGCTGTGTGACCTGGATCTATAATATCTAATAGGAAATTTTCTTCCTTGCGGTGTTCTTGTAAGCATTAAATGTCTTGATGCATGTAAAGTTCTAGAAAGCACCAGGCAAACAGGAAGTGCTCAATAAATTTTAACTATCATTTTTGATCTTCTTTGATTCTGCTCTTGCAGAAGATAAAATAGTTTCTTTCACATCTGGAGCATGTGTTAAATTTAGATTATGTTTCCCATTTAAGAATACATCTTCATAATATGTCTTTTATTGTGATAGTGTCTGCAACTGTTACACATTTATTTGTGATCTTTTTAGAGTTTGCAGATGGTAATGTACAGCTATTAGCATGTCTTGGGTATTACCCAGGTGATGGTTGCTTCTCAGGAATGAGCAGGTATATTTATATTGCTTTTCATGGACCTTTTGTGTGTTGTATAAATAGGGTGGTGATATGATGATGACATAGACTATCTTGAGTACCTTCCAGGTGGTTGGCCTGGTCTCTTCCCATTCTGATTTCTTTTATACATGAAGGCAGAAGATGTTTGTCCCCTTTTTCACTGTTATATCCACAACACCTAAAAGAGTGTACACAATATCAGAAATGAACGCATCATGGTATTTCATGATCTAAAACCATTCACTTACTTCCCAGTATCTACCCAAGTCCATTGATTTTATTGTAATCTCAAATAACTGTTATGTAACTACTTCTCAAAATATGCTAGATGGCTTCTGTTAAATTGAATAGCTTGTTTTTGTCTGAACATTCCCCTTCTTTTTTTCCTTTATGTGTATAGAGATGTTATTTTATCTACTGACAAATCTGATGTCATTACAAACTAAGAGCATCTCAAACAATACCCCCACTTCTCTACTCAACTGCCACAGTCTCTCTCTCCTAAGTGCCCCTGGCTTTACTGATATATATTTCCTGGGTCATTTAACCATTTTTATATTCTAGTACAGTTACTTGCACATGCCATGTCTCCCTTCAGAGCAAGGACCTTTTCTCTTTCACTTTTAAACCCTCCACAGTCCATGTAGGTAGGTAGCAACTATTTGATAACAGCAGATACTTAAGGAGGGCCTACTTAGTGCCAGATACTGAGCCCAGTGGCAGGTTGGCTTCATAGGAATGTGAGTGATATTCTCTTTTCGGTGTTCTCTAAAAATGTTTGCTAAATGAACAGTTGAACAAATTCACATTTTGAGCAGCATGGTGTTGCAAACGGGCCCCGGATTTGTACTGGACATACTGGCTTAAAATCCAGGCTGTCTGACTTTGAGATGTTAACATCTGCCGCTAAGAGAGTTAACATAATGGAGTGGAGTAGGGGCGCTCCTAGCCGAAGTGCTTGGGCTAGAGCAGGCATCAAATAAAAGCGAGTTTCTTCCTTCCTCAGACAAGGGCTATTTGAATGAAAGTAGAATTACTGATTTTTGGGGTGTCATTATCTTTTTGTGGTGGTGATTCTAGCTCTGGTTCTGTAGATCCTCTTTGAATGAGTCAAGCAAACTCATACAGTGCCTGGCCACTAGGGCTGTTTTGGGACCAGGCTGGGCTGCTACTCTTTCCTCCTAGAAGCTCTGGCAAATGTCTCTTTGCTTTGGTGGTTATAAATTGCTGCTTTCCTCCTGTTCTTTTTTTTTAAAGATTTTATTTATTTATATGAGAGGGGGGAGGGTCAGAGGGAGAAGCAGACTCCCTGCTGAGAGGGGAGCCCAATGCAGGACTTGATCCCGGGACTCCAGGATCATGTCCTGAGCCGAAGGCAGTCGCCCAACCAACTGAGCCACCCAGGCACCCTCCTCTTGTTCTTCATGAAATACTTTCAGGAGTCTAAGTTTTGTTTAATGCATTTTTGTTTTGTCTGTAGCACATGAAATTAAATCACTACTATGTGTGGGGAGCATTTTCACATTTGCAAAACATCTTCACATCTATTATTTCATTTGGTACACTTGATAAGTCTGTGAGCATGGGAGGGCAGGGACCTGTGCCATTGTATGCCTTTTAAAGGCAAATAAGGAAATAGAACCTCAGAGTTTAAGTGGTCTTCCCAAGGTCATATAGCTTAAAAGTGGTGACACTGGAGGTCTATCCAACATGAGTCACCTGGCTACAAATTTCGTGCCCTCTCTACCCTACTGTCCTTACCCTGGAACCAAAGGGAAACTCTGATATCCTTCATCCTGACAGTCTCTTCCATTCTTCTTTGCAGAGGCGTCCATCTTGAGCTACGATGGCAGCATGTACATGAAGATCATCATGCCCATGGTCATGCACACCGAGGCAGAGGATGTGTCTTTCCGCTTCATGTCCCAGCGAGCTTATGGACTGCTGGTGGCTACTACATCTAGGGACTCTGCGGACACCCTGCGCTTGGAGCTGGATGGGGGGCGTGTCAAGCTCATGGTTAACTTAGGTATCGTATGAAGTACCCTCTGCCACTTTGTTTGGGCTTGTCTTCCCTTTCTTTTCTGATTTTCATTGGTTTGATTGAATTCTTTGTTTGTTTCTTAAAAGTTAGCTGCTCACCTCTTGTTTAATAGACCAAGGATAAAACCCAACAGCAACAAACACCTTCTCCTTGTTTCTGCATGAGGTTTTGATGTCAATTTCTGGTTTCTGACAGTGGTGGTTTTTTTGTTTTTGTTTTTGTTTTTGTTTTTTTTTACTAGATTATTTATTTTTTAAGTTTCCTTTCTTGGTTTTTTGGAACCGTTTAGCTTTGTGTAAAACACGCTACTTTGGTCCATCTTTTGATCAATCACATTGCCATTAAGTCCAACTGCTTGGTCACCACTCAAAACAGTCAAAGCTGAGGGCAGAGATAAGACAGCAAATGGAGGCAAAATGGGAGGCTGGGGTTGGAGAGAATAAGTTTTGTGAGTAGGATGAGAACTGCATTGTTTCTTTCCCCACAAATGGGGAATTCTGGTGGCACTGGTATTTCCTTGTACTTTCTCCTAGTGGGAGGACAAGTCAGATTGTTTCTGTTGTCCCATTGGAGAAATAATTCTGTAAGTTTATGGAGTCTCTGACATGTGGAAGGAGAATGTGGCCCCTGATATGTATCCCCTTCTTCCTTCCTGACATTCTTCCCCATTGTCTAGCAGCCCCTTTTATCAAGATTGTCGTTTCACACTGTTACTCACCAATTCTTCTGTCCTCCTCATGTAATACATACGAATTTTCCTTAGTATTGAAAAATTATGACAATTTCAAATTTACAGCTTTATGGGGAGAGGATCTGTTCTTCCACTGTAATTATCTGTAATAGATACTTTGTAAACTCCCCTCCTGATAGCTTCACATTCGCTCCTGCTACTGACCTTCTTGACTGGATTCTAATTGATCTTCTATGGAGGATGGGAACCTCTTGATTTCTGGAAGGAAAGAAACCAACCTCATTTCTACTCAGTAGAAAGTCAGTGCCCTGTGTCAACAGGATGAGTGGTATGGCTGAGTCCAAGCTTTCTAAGCCATGGATTTGTTTGGGTATATAGCATATGTTTGGATACAAAGCTCCTTTACAAAGATTCCAGTGGAATGGCTTGTCAGAGGCATGGGGAAGACGTGATGGACAAATGTACCAGATACAAGACCATATAAAACCTTAGATGGCCTAGTGGGGAGGTGGAGTTTGGAATCCATACCAGTCTTACCTGCTGTCAGGTTGACTGGTTGCACTTGGAAAATGCCCACACTACGATCCTAAAAATCTTTAGGACACAGAGGACTGTTTTGAGCAGTGGCTTTACTTATGTCTTTTTTTTTCTTCCAATTTGCAGCTTTTACAACACTATGCCCTTTTTCTTGTCCAACCTTATTTGATTTCTGTTGTCAGTGTGTCTGTTGGTTTTTCTTTGGTTTGTGTATGTGTATGTTTGGTTATTTTGGGTTTTGTTTTTCTTTTTGCTGGATCTCTGTGTTCTTGAGTTTTCAATCCTCCCCACCATCAGCCATGGTAAATCAAAAGATGGTATTCAACCCTTCAAAGGCCCAAAGCCTGCGGCCCGCATAGCAAACAGCCTTGAGAACAGAGCGTACTGAGCAGCCTGCAGGGGCTGGCATACCCCTGTCCCTCTCACCTTCCCTTCCCTACACCATCCTCCCCACCTCCAATAAACCAACAAAAGAGTGTATATGACCTAAAACCAACAACCAGTAGCTGATTGTTTACTTCTCTGAAAAATAGCATAAGAAATAAAAAGAATTAAAAAAAAACAAATAAAAAAATGAACATAACATCCTAAATAGCTCACAGAAAAAGAGGAAGACAATTTTTTAACTCTGAATCTATTTCAAAGTAAGAGAGAAGCTCTTATATAAGGATGATTAGCCCCATGGGATCCTGGGGAAATGTATACTGTCCCTAAACAGAAAATAGATTTTCCTTCTTAGACATTGCTTTATAAAATGAGAAAGCCAATTATGGTAGGTCTCATATCTTAGAAGAAGATACAAGTGGGGGAAGATAAAAGGGGATGAGGAAGGAGATGGACAGATTCTCTTTTACACACACGCACACGCATGAGCACATGCGGTTAGTAGAGTTCCCATGTATATTCCTAGAAACATTATTTTTATATTTTAAACTTTGCCCCACATCTGGGAGAAGTGCCTCTCAAAAAGACTGCATCTGCCTCTTGATTCCTTCTAGCATACACTCAGTCTAGCTCCTCCGAAATTGAGATATCTTAGGTAAGACAGAGTTGGAGAGCACTGTCCTTTTCAGAAGCAATAATGACTTCTTTTTTTCCCTGAAGAGTATGGTTCACCAGAATGACTGGTTTGAATATATTTACCTCTCTTTCAAACCTAACATGGAAAACCAAACTGAAATTCCCTGTGCCTATGTATACAAAACTCTTTACATTTCATGCTTTATTTAAAGGTTCTCTTTCCCTTCCCTCCCCAAAATATACCCCTTTGTGAATGTTTTCTCCTATTATGAGTTCATATTTCCCTTTACTTAGTTAGAGAAGAAAACATCTCTAAGCAGGGTTTGCATTCACGCTCTTTTTTCAAGAACTAACTTCCGATGATCATTTTGTTCACCATTTCAGTTGTGTCTCCTTTCTAGAATATGCACAAATGATATTACAGTTTATTTCAAATTGGTCATGCATATAAGCTCATGATGTAAAGCCTAGTATATATTTCTCTGATGTAATATACCCATCTCCTAAATGTCAAGGAGACTAGGCTTTCCTAAGGGCCTTGCTCTCTGAAGACAGCTGGGTGTGGTAAGAGCAGGCATGAAAAGGATCCTACAACACACAGCCTGTTTTTGAAAGTTGAGAGATTGGCTATTGATCAATCATATTTTGATCCCTTACAATTAAAACATATAATATTTTGCTATTATAGTATATTTAAATATTTAAAAACCTTATTTCAGTCAGCCGGTAATTTTGTGAGATAAACCAAGGAAGTGTTTTTATGCTTACTTTTACAGATGTGAGACAAATAAAGAAATGTAGGACTTTTCAGAGGTAACATAAAAAGTCGATAGCGGAGCTGAGACTAGAACCCAGGTTTCTTTCTTTCTTTTTTTTTTTTTTTAAAGATTTTATTTATTTATTTGACAGAGAGATACAGTGAGAGAGGGAACACAAGCAGGGGGAGTGGGAGAGGGAGAAGCAGGCCTCCCGCCGAGCAGGGAGCCCGATGCGGGGCTCAATCCCATGACCCTGGAATCATGACCTGAGCCGAAGGCAGACACTTAACGACTGAGCCATCCAGGTGCCCCTAGAACCTGGGTTTCTAAAATGCTGCATCAACGTGGGTTATCTGTTATCTCCACAGGTCAGTACTGTGTGACTCAATGATGTAGCAGTCTTGATGACTTCTAACTGCTTTCATGATGGTTAACTTTTAAACATGCACAGAGGGAGTCTTTTTTCCCTAGTGCCTGGTTTGAATTGAGCCATACAGCTGAAAAGTCAGTCAGTATTGGCATCTCATTCACGGCCCTTTTGAATCCTCAGCAGAACACCAGCAAGCCTTCTTCAATGGTGGAGGCTCATAGGGAGTGTCATGCAGTTTGGTTAGTTGTATTCAAATTCTCCAGATGCTCTCTCTCTCTTTGGCAATATGGGCTTGCTGATGACTGTTTACAGTGTGCATTGTTGAAAACACACAATTCCTAGAAATGTTCACCTCTTCTATGCTCTCAACCCAAAGCTTACTAATCTAGAAAATAATAATTTCTCGTTTACTAAAATAAAACAAAAAACATCTAAATGAAACAGGATCAACAGCACAGACATACACAGACACACATACACCCCTCAGATACCTTGCCAAGGGTAAGGCAGAGATTGAACTTTGGCTGCTATTCAAGATAGATCTGAGGAAGTTGCTTTCCCAGCCCAATTCCCTGGATTCACTTTTTGTTAAAAAATACATCCTCATTATCAAGACGACCCTCTCAGAGCCTATGAGCAAGGCACTGGGATAGATTTTTTTTCCTTGAACCACTTATTCTTCAGGTAAAGTATCAAAATAATTCGTCACTTCTTGGCTTAACCAGTTGTCTACCATCTGGAGAACTCCAAGTCCTCACATTGGTTTAGAGACACCGTTCAGTTCATGGAACCATTTGAGTGAACCCAGCACCTCTCTCTAGACCAGGTCCTTGTCTAAAAATAAAATCCTCAGGGTGCCAGGGTGGCTCAGTCCATTAAGCATCTACCTTCGGCTCAGGTCATGATCCCAGGGTCCTGGGATCAAGCCCAGCATCGGGCTTCCTGCTCAGCAGGGAACCTGCTTCTCCTTCTCCTTCTGCTCCTCCCCCACCCTTGTGCTCTCTCTCAAATAAATAAATAAATAAAATCTTTAAAAAATTAAAATAAAAAATTAAAATAAAATCCTCAACAGCATAGAAACGAAGGAAGACAACTCCTTCTTGTTGACAGTTCTCAGGTTTGTTGCTTTAGGCCCACTCATTCTTGTCCCTTCTCTCTTAAGCATCTTAAGCATGCCCATCCAACTGTTTCCCCTGTCTCCTGAATACATCAGGAAGGGGCATTTCTCCAGCTTTGGCTGATGGCAGGTGCAACCCGTAGCTGAAGCCCCACCCCTTCCTCCCTACTTTGTCCTCCCCCTTCCCAGTCCTCACCAGGGGCATGGCCTCCTCTGTTTGGTGATCGTACCAGTTGCTCCAGGGCTGTTTGCTCCCACTTTTCTGTTGCGGTTGACGACACATGACAAACCTAACCGCACGAAACCAAACCCAGATTTTTCTCAAGAGATGTTCTTCTGGGGAACAAATAAGCATCCCACCTCCTTCCTCAGAATGATTGGGTGTTCTAGATTTCTCCTGTCTGGATGTCCATAGTTTCATTCTGCCCTGTCCTTTGCCACTGGTTCCTCTTTCACTTGCTTACTTAAAATGGTTTACTTTGGGAAATTCAA